GAGAATGACAAATTTGAGACAACTTAAACTACATAGTGTGTCCCAGGTCATCCTGGCCTATATAGTTTAGAGATCTTGTCTTAAAACATAAACACATGTAAATCACAAATGTATAGAGTTTCCTTCTTAGCACTTTTCATAAATAGCATCAGGTCTTGACCATTTTCATAGCCTTTCATTTCTATTAGCTGCATTGTAGTCTAGAGTGAGTTAAAGGTTGTGAGAAGATGAGGTGGGTTATGTGCAAACACTGCACCGTTCTCTTCAAGGGCTTTCAGCATTTGAGGTTTGTGACATTCCTGGGATCAATTCCCTGTAGATGACCAGATGGTTGCATTATGATGTATTTTTCCAACTGCGTGTACTGTAGTCATGACTCACATTTAGGTCCACCACTAGGTGATTATCACTTTTCCTTCCAATGTAACGCCGTGGGTGGGTCAGGGCCATTCTCTAAAATGTTGTCAGAAGGCATTGGACAGGTTGAAGTTGGGTCACAGAAAACATGATTCTTGATTGACATTCCAGAGCTGTCCAGACTGAAAGATACGGGCAATGATCTGTCTATTTATCCATATATATCCAGTCCTGCTAGCCCTGCAGTTAGGAAGAATCTCTCCTACCCACATCCTGCAACCACTTGGTCCCAAGTAAACACACAGAGGCTTATATTACTTACAAACTGTATGGCTTATGGGTCAGGCTTCTTGTTAGTTAGCTCTTATAACTTAACTCAACCCATTTCTATTAATCAATATGTTGCCACGTGGCCATGGGATTACTGGTCTGCAGGCATCTTGTTGCTCCTTGGGTGGTGGACTGGCATCTCTCTCATCTCATCTTTCTCTTTCCTGTATCTCTGTTTGGATTTCCCACCTGCCTCTAAGCTGCCTTTCCATAGGCCAAAGTAGCTTATTTATTAGCCAACTAAAGTAACACATATTCACAGCATACAGGAAGACATCCCATAGCACTTCCCCTCTTCTGTCTAATCAAAAAGGAAGGTTTTAACTTTAACATAGTAAAATTACATGCAATAAAACAGTTATCAAGCAAGAATTACAGTTATAATAGCAAGTCTATTTGTATTTGGCAAAATTAAATAAAGTAATGTATCATCTGCCCTATATTTTTATCATAGCCAAGGAAAATTATAATTATAACTATCTAGTCTTCAACTCCATCAAAGACCCCAGAAGGATATAATATTACCCGAGTAAACAGGAAGTGAATTGCAAGCAACTTCCATAATTCTAGAAATTACTGAGATATCTGGCTGCCTGGACAGTCATCCAAACTTTCTCAGCACCATTGGGGCATTGATCTTCAGCCTACAGGCCTAGAGTCTCTGGCAGACTTTTTAGTGAAGCAAGAAATTCAAAGGAATGTCTTGCCTATTGTCAAAGTTCACCAGTTGCTTCTCCCTGTGTCTTGCAGAATGTTGGGCAGTCTCCTCTATGAGGAGGGATCCTAAAGAAGGAGCTCACCCTGTTTAGGCAAAGTTTAGTGGTCACTTTCCCATGGATCCTACATGTCCAGTCTATACCACATATTGTCAAGCAGTCCAGGCAAGAGCCAGTTTGCCAAGAAGAACAAAATTCCATATAGAATGTCTTCAATGCCCATCTTCCTCTTTGAAGTAAATTGGTGCTGACAGGAGGAGACATGTCTCACTGTCCAGGAAAGTCTAAGTTTTAAAACATTTAAATGCCATATTCTGTAATTCTTTGAAGTGTTTGAAGATTACTACCTAATTGAAAAATACCTATGTATATCTAGAAAACTTAACCAACATGACTACTTATTAATCTGTATTTCTCAACTATACACTACAATTTCAAAAGAGCTGCACAAACATAATATCCCACACAGGAGTAGAAATACATACAGCACAACAAAATTTTTCTTCAAATTTGCATCAATAAACAAAACAACTTCAAATTTGCATCAATAAACCAAAATCCATAGCAATGTAAAACATTTAAAACATGTTTTTGCTCTTTAAGTACATTGAATAATCTACTCTTTCATCCTATCATATCTACAATATGCCCCTTTCTTCTGTAGAAAGAGTTTGCATTTATAATCAACCCTTTTTAAGCAAAAATAAACATTTATAAACAGCATTTTGGGAATTCTGTCATAGCTTTTTATACCATTTCCTGCTGGTTGGGGGTGCTGACAATCTTATGGGAATCCTGTGAAAATTAAGAATTATAGTTAAATCTTGGCTGTAGCAGTCTGTGAGGCTGTATCAACCTCTCAGAGGGTCTTGGTTGATCAAACCATATTAGCCTGGAAGCAGTCCATGGGTTCTCATCTGTGGAAACAAAAGCAGAATGTCTTTTCCAAACAATGTATCCTTAGACATAAATTTTGAAGTCAAGATACCTTTAAAATATACATATTGGTTTAACTCAGCAGCTTTTACAATCAAATGTCTCTCTCCAATTAAAAATCCCAAAGACAACACAATCCAGGTTCTCTGTGTAAATTTTATCTTTATGTGGATTGACTTTTATATTACTTTTACTGTTTCTTTAAAGATTTTATTTTTTAAAACTATCTACTTTTTATATAACTGCATATATTCCTCTTTCTTTCTCTTTCAAGCCTATGTACATTTTTACATGCATTGTAAACCATTTAGAGTTTTATTTCATCTGAATCTGTCTTATTGTGAATCTTTAATCCTTCTCTCTCCAGGAGAGATTTTAAACTGTTAAAGCTGCATGGTGACTTTGGCTGTTGCCTCTGCCCCCTTAGTTTCCCAGTGTGGCAGGGGTATATTTACCACAAGCTTTGGGATCCATGCTCACCACTGAGTCTGGGAAGCAGTGGGTCTATTCCTCCATCCAGCAGTGTGTCGCCCAGAATGCCCCCCTTTTTTGGTTTCTGCTAGCAACAGCAAATCCACCATTCAGTAGGCTGGCAAGCTTGTAGTTACCTCTGTGTACTGTGCCAGGAATCTGCCATGCTTTAGCTCAAGCCCACATGTTACCATGTTTCTGTGTCATGACTTGCATGAGAGACATCTAGAAAGCAATGCTTGGCTTCATTTTAAAACCACTTTTTAAAGCTTTCTCAGATTTTGGGTGGAATTTCTTGCCCCACTTTGGGTGCCAAAATGTAGCCAGAGGTTTCTTCAGTCCTGCCAGGCCCCACAGTTGTGTTGAATCTCTCCCAAACATGTCCACAGCTCCTTGGTCCCAAGTAAACACACAGAAGCTTATATTACTTACAAACTGTATGGCCTATGGGTCAGGCTTCTTGTTAGCTAGCTCTTATAACTTAACTCAACCCGTTTCTATTAATCTATATGTTGTAAAGTGGCTGTGGCATTACTGGTCTGCAGGTATCTTATTGCTCCTTGGGCAGAGGGCTGGCATCTCTCACATTCTGTCTTTCTCTTTCCTGTATCTCTGTTTGGATTTCCCACCTGCCTCTAAGCTGCCTTGTCATAGGCCAAAGAAGCTTATTTATTAGCCAACCAGAGCAACACAAATTCACAGTGTACAGAAAGATATCCCACAGCACATATCAGTGTCTATATCCATATCCGTATCTGATGCAACACGTTAAGTACCCCCCCAACACCTGTGAAAATTTACTCAAAAACTCAAGAAATAAGAACAAATCTCTTTAATAATGCACATCTGGTTCTGGCCAACATCCTAGAGAAACTATCCTCAAAGAGACATTTTTAACAGCTTGTGTAGGTCTTGAACACTAGCAATCCATATGTGCTGTCATCTGTAAATATCTTGTAGATTCCATCAGATTTTGAGCAGTTACACATATTTCACAGGGATAGGAACTGAAAAGCCTGTCTATGTCAGATAAGTGGAGATTTATAGCAAATATATCGTCACCACTAATTTTAAAGTAGACCAATGTTGTTCCTTTTGAATCACATTGCTTGTGTCTCAGTCATTGTTCTGTTGCTGTGAAGAGAACCCATGACCAAGAAAGCTCTTAAAAAAGTATTTAGTTCATTATTATCATGGCAAAATATGACAGCAGGTATGGCAGGTGCTGGAGCAGTAGCTGAGAGCCACATCCTGATCTGTAGGCAGAGAGAAAAACTCTAGGCTTAGCATGGGCTTTTGAAACTTCAAAGCCCATCCTCAGTGACACACTTCCTCCAACCAGGCCACACCTCCCAATCCTAATCTTTTCAACCTGGTGACCAAGCATTCAAATACATGAACTTATAGAGGGCCATTCTTATTCAAACCACCACACCGGTACTCTCCTACCCTCCTGGCAGAATTACACTCTTCCTGATAAGAGAAACGGGTGTAATGATCATTGTTAGCCAGTGCTATCCCCTCTGAACTGCCCAGTAGAGCCATGTTCTTTAATATGGGAATGGAGCCTAATTCACAACTAACTTAACAAACAAATATTAGCAGAAATATATTCTCAGAAGCCTAAACTACAATTATGTTCAATGTACAATATTTTCCCTACAGTTTCTAACAAGTCTGGCTGTCTTACTACTTACCAACCAGTCACATGAGAGGCAGCACTGCCTTAGGTAAACCCTGCCTTGTGCAGCTTAGTATTTCCTAAGCAAATTTACTGCTGAACCCTCTGTAACATTAATTCATTACTCTCAGTTTCCTACATTATATTTTTATATTGTTTATTTTTTTGATACCAGGTCTCATGTAGCCCCAGGCTGGCCTCTACCTCAACAGCAGCAAGAGATGATCTTGAACTCCTGATCCACCTCATTTACTTTCCCAATGCTGAGCTGATAGCAAGAGCCATCTACCCACAGCCATACTATAATGCAGTCAGTACTGATCAGATCATCCAGCATCCATGCAGACTTCCATGGTGGTGGATTGACTCTGAAATTGCTATGTCCTCAGAAGGGGAAAGGTGGCCAGGGGTGGTCTTCCTCTGTATTACTCTGTGTCTAAGTGTTTTTACAGGGTAGCAACAATGTCTGCACTGACTAACAACAACCCTGGTGCCCTTGTGCTTGGAAGCTACGAGAAAAATATGGAGATGTGTTCACAATGCACCTGGGACCGAGGCCCATGGTCATGCTGTATGGCACAGAGGCCATAAGGGAGGCTCTGGTGGACCAAGCTGAGGCTCTCTCTGGCCGGGGGACAATTGCTGTGGTTAGACCAGTCTTCAAGGACTATGGTAGGAGTCTCAAAGTTTGGGTTGAAGTGGGCTGGAAAATGGGCCCAGAGATGCCTTACACTGAGGCTGTCATCCACGAGATTCAGAGATTTTCAGATCTAGTCCCGATTGGTGTGCCACACAGGGTTACCAAAGACACTTTGTTCCGAGGGTACCTGCTCCCCAAGGTAAGATCAGCTGCAATTCCACATCTTTACTCTATGATCACCCTCCACTCACCTCATCACCAACCTCAGCCTGTTTGTGGTTTCCTACATTCTGTCTTTCTCAGGGACTGACAGTTTGCAGATGGGAGTCAGGGTATGCTAATATCTTTGTGTCTCATAATGTCTCCTAGAACATTGAAGTGTACCCCATCCTGAGTGAAGCTCTCCATGACACAACTCCATTACACAACCAGACACCTTCAACCCTGACCACTTCCTGGATGCCAATGGGGCTCTGAAGAGAAATGAAGCTTTCATACCCTTCTCTATAGTTGAGAACCACTTGTGCTTCTTTTCCAAGACACTAGAGAGCAGACTTATCCTCCAGGACACAGATAGGACTAGGTCCATGTTTACTGAGTCTGTTCCAGCTGCTTTGCCTGCACCATTTCATTCACCCTGGCTGCAGTTCCATAAGAGGACTCTTGAACTAAAGGAGCATTCTGGCCATTAGGACTTTGGGAAATTATTTAATAGCCTCTAAACCTGAGCAAATGCATTTTCTTAAGAAACATCAGCAAGAACAAGTGACATCATCTATGAACACTTCTGTGAACAGGGCAGGGATATCCTAGAAGGCATAGACTTTAGCTGAGCACTGGGGAGATGGAGCTTGTCTTGACATGCTTGTCTCTGTGTGCAGTAAATACTCTGGCTTGGTAAAATGTAAGAGGAATAAAAGTTACTAGCATTTATTTGAGCAAAGAAACCATCCATGATGGATAATCTTTTGAACCAGAGAAAGTTCAGAGCTACAGCACCCATCAGTGCCAGCACCCGGTGACTACAGACAATAGATAGCTGGGCATGGACACACAGCTCGATTGTTGCCAGTTCTGCTTTTGCCTTACTTGTCTATGCTGGAGTAGTTGGCAGCCTGGGGTAGGTCAACTGCTATGAAAGACTGAAAGTTGTTCTTCATTGCAAGATATAATCTCAAGTTATTGAGTAGTTGTGTTGGCTGTTGTCTTTGGTTAATTTGTTAGTGCCTCCAGCCAAATTTAATTCAGTTTTATAGACTCTTTGGGATTTAAACATCAAATATTTGTGTTCATGTTTTTATCTTTTGGAGAAAGGGGCCTTCTAGAAACAATTCCTTAGCCTTTAGTTGACCCCACACTCCATGTCCTCATGATAGGGAACTCAGAGGGCTGAGTGTGTGTTATGTAATTTCTCTTCAAAAGAGCCCACAACTCCAGCCTCTCCTTGGTGCATTCTAGATAATGTTCTCCTGCTGAGAGTCTCTTTTCTCATCCCATCACTGACGGATTTTGGGCAAGTGTTCTCCTATTGAGCCATGTCTCAGCTAAGAATTGTCTAGTGTTGAGTGTATAAGTGACTTCAGTGACCCTGGGTTCAGCCTTGCTCTTGGCTCTGTCCAGTATAACGGCTTCCTTTCATTTTGATCTTCAGAGTTGTAAACATGTAGGGTGTGAGATAAAAGTGAATCATCTGTATAACAGACCCAAGTTTAGAAAGGCAGGTTGTGGGGAAAGAAGATGTAAGAAGAAGACATGGAAGGAATGAACGAACAGATGTGGCTGGACAGAGAAGTTGGAGGGTTTAGAATGTTGGCTAGGAAGTTTAGAAAAAGCAAGCAGAAAAGAATAGATAACAAGACACGTAGTGATGGTCGGTACAGACACAGCTTCAAGGAGACTGCTGTGGGATGCAAGCAAGCCAGCAAGGAAGCTAGAGAGTGAGCAAGCAAGCAAGCGAGCCAAAAGGATATTAGAACCAAAGAGATATGAGCAGTGTCTGACTCACCAGCTCCAGGCATGGGGACACTGTGTTGAGAGTGAGATCAGCCATTAAAAGCTGCTCTGGAAAATTTTGGGTCATAAAATGAGTTCTAGGAGAACTGTCTCAGAGAGATACTCCATGAATTTCTAAGGTCATGTCACCTAAGTTCTGGAAATGGGATGCCCAAGGGGATAGGGTGCTTTCCCTAGACACCCCTACACAGGCACGATTTCCCAACAACTGGAGGGCACAGGCATTGCTGGGAAATCCCTCCTCCACCTGGACACCTGTGGTGGTTTGTTGCAGATTAAGAATCCCTTAGGTACAGGGCAGGTGGTGGAGCCTCTGCCTGGTCTTTCAGGCTCCTATTGTTCTGTGGTGTTCCATGCCTGAGGTGAAAAACCTTATGCCTCTGAGAATCCAGTGGGTGCCATAGAATCCTTATCATGTGCTCCCGCCCATTCTCAATTTTATGAACAATTGTGTTTGCGAACTTGTTGAATTTCTTTGATCTCAAGCTGAAAAAGCAAAGGGAGCAGTGAGAAAGAAATAAATGTGGGGGTGGGGGATGAGAGACAGAGAGGACACAGAAAGAGGAGAGACAGAGGTTTTCCTCTGTAGCCCATCATCTTCTTGCCTCAGTTTCCCAAATGCTGCACTTGCACACATGTGCCTCCATGTCTGGCTCATACAGGACCCTTAACATCCAGTTGTTAACCCCAGATTCTTTGTAAACAGTACCTTCACCCTCAGGGCAGCCAATGAGATGGGTTCAAATACCTCACATGAGCTAGGAGGGAACACTGAAGATGTTGCATTAAACATGTGTACACAGACACGCTTTGTTCTTACTCCAAGTGAGTTCTTATAGTTCTGTAACGAAGGACTCTCGTAGTCTAACAAAAGAGAAATCTGTCAGAAGTGACCATGAGACACCCACCAACAATTTGTACTGCATTTATGTTTGATTTATTGTATATATGTTTGCACGCATATACATGTGTGCTATGGTGGGTGTGTATGTCTTTATGTCACAGGACAGACTTTGGGGGTTGGTTCTCTCCTTGCAACATGTGGATTCAGAGGATTGAACTGATGTCTTCAGAACTGATGGCAGGCCCCTTTCCATGCTAAGATATCTCACTGTCCCTTGTCCCAGTTCTTTAAGGTTTTGGGAACCTCTTTAACGTTTTTTGAATTGCAGGTGAGGGTCACACTCACTTTTATTCTTTGCAATGGGCCGAGTTGTCTGGGTGTAGGAATGGGAAACTCTGAAAGTTGTATACTGCCCTGGGGCTCACATGGTTCATTCTCTGTGCCCAAAGGAAAGCACATTTGTCTTGGTGAAGGCATTGCCCACAATGAGTCGTTCCTTTTCTTCACTACCATTCTCCAGAAATTTTCTGTGTCCAATCCCATGGCTCCACAGGACATTGACCTCAGTCCCAAGGAGACTGGCTTTGGCAAAGTGCCCCCAAAATACCAGATCTGCTTCTTAGCCCGCTGACTGGGCTGTGGTGTACAGGTGTCCCCGCTCCTGTTGAGAAAGGCCCCATCTTTCTGCCTCTGAGAGACCTGCTGGAATCCAGGCCCTGGGTCACTGCTGACTTCCTTCCTCATTCCTGCAGCTTCTGCAAAGCTGGAGGTGTGTTCTCCTGCCCTGTGAATGACACTGGAGAAATCAATCAGGTACCTTTCTTGATGTGTGAGCAGAGAGATTTCTGGAGGCCACATCTCATACTGAATCATTCCCAACAGCCACGGTCTCCATATGTCAGCTCCTGGTGATCCATGATCTATGCTGATAGACTCTGTGTGAGTGTGTGATCTTTGGTGTCTGGTGTCTTTTACTTCACACAATATTATCTAGGTCCCTGTGCTTTGCAGACCACAGTCGTGAACCTTCGTGGGCCTTTCTCATGATCTTTCTCACCCATAAGCATAATTACCTTCTTTCCTGTGTTCCGCCAGCAGAAGGTGGGGTACTGATTTAGGCTGGGTCTTCCTGCTTCTAAGAATCTGATAAGAAATCCCTTGGTGGTGGTGATGGTGGTGGTGGTGGTGGTGGTGGTGGTGGTGGTGGTGGTGGTGCACGCCTTTAATCTCAGCACTCGAGAGGCAGAGCCAGGCGGATCTATGTGAGTTCAAGCCAGCCTGGGCTACCAACTGAGTTGCAGGAAAGGTGCAAAGCAGAGCTACACAGAGAAATCCTGTCTCGAAATACCAAAAAAAAAAAAAAATCCCTCACAGCATGCCCAGCAGCTTAGGTTTTAGTTGGTGCCAGATGCAGTCAAGTCAATACTCAAGAGTAGCTATCACAAGGCCCAGTCTCCTGACCTCCTGGTTACTTTTACATGCGACCTCTTGGTTGTCTGGTAACTAAGGTTCTTCTCAGAAGGGCTTCTGGCTGCAAACTCTATCACATCCAGGCCAGCCTGGTGAAGGGACACCCTGTTTCCTTGTTCTGTGCCATGTTGTGAGAACCTGGAACATCAGGTGGCTGATGCCAGGTGTTAAATATGGTGGGAAAATAATCAATAAGTAAATAAACAACTCAATACTGTGACAAAATGAAATATTCCTTAAACTTGTTCAATGTGCAGCCGGACCTAGTCTCTCTAATCTCTGTCACTCCCTTCAGATGACCAGAGTAAATCCTCGTCCCCAAACTCTCCGGACTGACCCAGTTCTGTGAGTCATCTGCTCTTGCTGTCTTGTCACCTTCTGACAGAAGTGTCTGGGAGCCACCCTTTGAGCAGTGTTCCCTGAAACTCAGCCTCTGCACACCACACTGCTGGGACAAGCAGGTGCTTGTGGGAAGTTCATTTATTTAACATCATCACCTAGGAAGGTGTCTCTAGGCAGCCATTGGCCAATCAGCAGGCAGCTCTCAACTCACCTTTGAGATTCTAAATTTCCACCTTCATTGCCAACCTCCCTGTAGCCTAAGGTGAATTATCAGGAGGTTTGGCAAGGTAGATTTCTGGCTCACTCTCTTCCACCAACCACAGAAACAGGACAACAAACAGAGCAGTTTGTCCTTCAAGAAAA